TCCTCAAACAGTGAAATTGGCTCCTTTGGAAAGTGTTGAATCAGTGTTTTGATTTTCAAGGCTGCCTTTGTTTTGAGTAAGATTGCACGCTGCTCCTTGTGTTTGAATTGCGTCATTATAACTTTAAAATGTCCATGTTAAAAGTGAGGGTTATGGTTGGTTTGACTGAGCTAAATCTGCATGAGGCAGTAATCCTTTGAATTCAGTCTGGTGGATTGTTACCATATCCATGTGTGGACTTGGTTCACTATGTTTAGGATTTTATTGAGAAATTGCTGATTATTTATTCAGGCAGAAAAATAAGACTGCTGAGTTTGATCATCAAAACAAAGTAAACATTGGTGTGGGGATTCAAAGATTTGAGTGGTTTGTTGCATTGTAGATGTATATTCCTTCAGGGCAAATTCCCTGAATGCTTATACTGGGTACTAGGGTTTAATGCAGATAACCTTGGTTCAAATGAACTTGGGGTTTTAGAATTGTGCTTTAATGAAAATCAAGGAGCCTTTTTCTCTATTTTGCATTTTAAATCTTTCTGAGAAATTGTAACCGTTTCTGTTTTAGACTTTTATGCTCTAAAGATCAATGACTAAATATTTCAATATGTCCAAATCTCCAGAATGTACGTGAGAAGGCTGGGAAGAACGTGCACAAAACAGTCTAAATCTTTCTTATGTGAAGTGGGGTGTGGGCACATAAAGGAAGTATTTTTGTGCTATTAAGTAAAATAAAAATATCTCTAAATGGCGTTTATTTCATCCTTTTTGACTTCTATATTTGTATTCTTTATAATGTACATAATATATTAATACAGTCATACATGTGTATAACTTGTAAATACATATGTATTTACTGGGGGTGCATGCTCAAAAATGTTTTTCTGCTGGAAGCACATGATCAAAATTTGGAGGCCACTGGTCTAAACGAATACTGACACTCAAGTTATTTGTACATGCATTCATCAAAGATGCAGCTATTCCAAAAATAAATCTGCAAAACTAACTTTTGTGAAATGCTGCCTAGGGTAGATAAATGAAAAAACCTCTTCTAAACTGGTGTGTTAAATGAGAGAGTTAATGAACTACTTTGTTTTATTATGGCAGTCATATTGTCTACTTGAGAGTAACTTTGTTTTTCTGCTTCAGTAGACATAGAAGGAGTATTTTAAAGCACTGAAATTGTTAATTATAACATCTGAACCAACCTTTTGGTGTGTTCTTGTGGCAAACATTTGGTTACTGAGAAGTGTTTTTAACTTACTTTTTTTTTTAGGAATAATGCACGATATCTTTGGAAAAGAATCCCTCCTGCTATCAAATCTGTGAGTACTTTGTAAAATGCCATTTGATACTAAACTGGTTAGATATAAGCTTGTGAATCGTGACTTTTCCCCCCCAAGGATTGTTTGGTGAGTAGTCTTGGGCTCAGGTCTGTGCTCTGAACTACTTGCCCAGCAGATGGCATGTTGGTCTTTAAGATCTTTTAGTTACTCATTTTCTACTTCTTTTCTTTCCCAAATAATCTGGTGCCATATGATTCAGTAAATCTGTAGACTTTTTAGTAGAAAGCTTATGATAAATGGTAGTCAGCTGGTGGAAATAAATGGATCTGATTCTGGTATATGGCTGCATTCCACATGAGAGTGCATAATGCCTTGTGCAGTGAAAAGTGACTTCAGATAAGATGCACCTTCAAAGTGATTAACTTTCTGAAGGCAGTTTGTTTTGCACTGCATTTGGATCAAAGCAGCATTTTGAGGTTTTAGGTAAATATACCAGAAAGCTTCCAGACTACTGCTGTTAGTATTTTTACTTTGAGATCACATATTTTACAAGGAAACAAGTGTTCTGTAGTCTTGTACTAAGAAACCTCATGGTCAAGATGGGAACCGTCCGGTGGTTCTGAAATAATTTTTGTTCTCTTTCAAGAAAAAGTAATTACATCAGTTGAGTCAACAGTCATCCGGACCAAATTTTACTTGGACTTTCTCTGAAACCTGCTCTGTTCGTTACACAGCAATACTCTGAATAATCTGGCTTTTTTTGGTGTAACTTGCGTTTCATGTGCAGCATCGTTCTTAGTGGAGGAAACTTACTGCATGACATTTTGGGAAGGTTACACCTCAAAGCATAGTATTTTCTTATGTGTATGTGTTGATGAATCTTCTAATTGAGTCAAGTAATAATTAGTATGAGTCTTCAGAAATAAATTGGTTGTCCTCACAATTGAAAATATTACTTTATTACCCAGTTTGGTGTTTGGTTGCTATTCTGACAGGCTGTTCTGGAGCCAGTTGACCCAATTAAAATGTGTAACATGGTAGAAGTAGCCATTAAAACCAGTTGTGGGAGAGCAGTTGTAGTGAGGATGGTCCCATATTAAGTGTGACCTATTGTCAAGATTGCAAGACAGAATTTCAAGTTGAAAAGTGCCTTCACTGTGCAAACAGCCTCTGCACTTTATAAAGCCTCTAGTGAAGAGACAAGCATTTCTCTTAAGCAGAAAATAAGCTGTGCCTGTCCTTTTGCAACTCCAGCCAGTAGCCTGTGTGCAGACTATCCTCCATGACTGTTTTAGCTGGTGTATCTGTCTGGATTGGTATAACTGACACGTGAGCAGACTTTGCATATGTGGGTGATAAAGTTTTGGCAGAGGATGAATCGGGGAGCTTGCAGCAGTGATACCTGCTAGAACAAAATTTTCCAATGCTTGTCTGATCATCATTACAGGTATTGTGATACACTCTTGCAATGGGAAGAGGAGGGAAGTGGAAATGGGTTTATACAGAGCGGTCACTGTAGAGAATACGCCATTCTGGATTAACTGTTGGGTTTTTTTGTCACAACAGGCAAATGCTGAACTTGGTGCGGTTTGGTCAGTAGGACAAAGAATCTGGCAGAGAGACTTTCCAGGAATCTATACAACAATCAGTGCGCATCAGTGGTCCGAGACTATTCAACCAATCATGGAAGCACTTAGAGGTACAAATTAGACTCCTGTAGGTGGCATGGAAATACATGTTGCCTTAAATTATTTGTGGTCAAACACAAATAGACAAGTAGACAAATGACTACTTATGAGAAATCAGAGGTAGTCAGGAAGATTGTTGCCAACTATTTGTAGGTTTTACTTTAAGGATTTTAGGTGTCAGGTGTAAATAAAGGGCTAATTATGAAAACTTGTAGAAACAAACTAAATTGTTTTTAAGATTGTGTATCATTGTATATTCTTTCATATTGGAATTTCATACACCATGTTTTGTTCTGTAATAGCAAAATAAACCATTAGTTATGCAGTTTTATCAGACTTTTAACCAGTAATCTAGGGAACTTGACTTGGCATTTCAGAACCTTGTGACACTTATGAAAAGGTTTTTCTTTTAAGTATGGCTTTAGGCAAATGTTTTAGATGGACTGCAACAGTAACATGCAAAGTCTTACTACTAGAGGGCAGTACAGACTGCTAAAAAGCCTTCCAAAGTATTTTGCAATAACAAATTCTCTGCAGCTTTAGAAACAACTGATTTGCAGACACCTTGGTATCAAAGCAGATGTGGTTAAAAAGGCATGAATACTTTGACTAACTTTTTTTATGATTTTTTTTTTTTCTGATTCTGAACTACTTGACACACAAGCTTATTGCAAATCATATAATGGTTTAGGTTGGAAAGGACCTTGAAGATCTTTGAGTTCCAACCCCCCTGCCATGGGCAGGGGCACCTCCCACTAGACCAGGTTGTCCAAGGCCACGTCCAGCCTGGCCTTGAACGCCTCCAGGGATGGGGCCTCAACAACCTCTCTGGGCAACCTGTGCCAGTGCCTTACCACCTCAGAGTAAAAAAACCTCTTCCTCGTGTTTAATCTAAACCTGCCCTCTTCCAGTTTATAGCCATTCCCCTTCGTCCTGTCACTACATGCCCTAGTAAAAAGTCCTTCCCCAGCTCTCCTGTAGGCCCCCTTTAGGTACTGGAAGGCCGCAATAAGATCTCCCCGGAGCCTTCTCTTCTCCAGGCTGAACAGCCCCAACTCTCTCAGCCTCTCCTCATAGGAGAATGCAATCAGAAGCAGAGTTCCCTAAACTGGTTTACATACTGATGGTAGTACCCATGATGCTGCAAACTAGATTTGGAAGTTAAATGTGTTCTTGGAGAGGTTTTGTCCTTGCATGGAGCCAGTGGTTGTTTCTGGCTGCTGACTGTGGTGCTTCAGGAAATTGTGGGAAGGGAGGGGGAACTTCTAAAGTGTTAGCTTTAAGGGTGGTAGTGATTTTTCCAAATGTATTAGAATTGGAAAAGTTTTCTCAGGTTTCCTAGCTATGGAAATTAGTCTACTGTCTGCTTACAGTGTTTATATCTTCTTAGATGCCACTAGGAGACGAGCATTTGGACTGGTTTCTCAGGCATATACCTCAATAGTTGCAGATGATTTTGCAGCCTTTGTTGGGCTTCCTGTCGAAGAAGCTGTGAAAGGTACTTTGCATTTATTCAAATAATTTTTCTACAGATGATTGGGATCAGAGAGCTGGAAGTGATGATAAATAGATGCATGTATACAAATTCTGAGGCTATTAAAGAGAAGTCATGAGGCAGTGAATAGGTAAATGTCTTGGCCCTGATTAAGTGTTTGATTTTTATTATTTGCCGCTAGTTACCATTGGTTATCATCCCCTTCTATATGTAGAAGTGTTAAAGCAATGCCACAATGAGGGAAGACTGAAGGTAGTAGGGTAACTGTTATTACTTTCATGAGCTTATTTGTCGAGCTAAATGTCTAAATGCTCACAAGAAATGCATCTGAGTTGTGGAATATAGGCAATGTACTGCAATGCCTTTCTACTGTTCTTAATGTGAATCTTTATTTTGCATTTCTAGCAATCATGTAAGATACTTGTTCTTACAAATGTAAAAATGCCTTTTCAGGTGTATTAGAACAGGGCTGGCAAGCGGACTTTTCAACTCGTATGGTAATGCCTAAAAAGCCAGGTAGGTGGAGCTGTTATTTCATTAGATGTTGAGTTTAGCATTTTCTAGTACTTAGGTGTTAGTTTTTAATGAAAATTTTGCACAATATTCTTTTACATATTTTTGGGGGTGGCAGGTTGCCACTGTAAAACATGGAATGTTTATAAAATGTAGGAAGCACAAAGTGATGGGTTTGATTTGGGGCTATAAGTAGTTTGGATTAAACTACATCCTCAAACTTTTTTAAACAAGAGCAGGCAGGATGTGCTATGATTTCTCCTGTTCCTCCTCTGCTGCTGGCTCTGAGTCAGTGGAACATAAGTTGGATGACCTCAAATGACATGTCTTAATCTAATAAAGATGAGTAAAAATATACCATTTTGAACCTGAGATTTTTTCAGAAGTAGAACAACTTTGGGCAGGGATCTAGTGGATCTTTGTGTTCTGAGGAGCTCCAGTTGTTGTTATAATATCCTTTGCATTTCCAAATTTATTCTGCTGGATCTTTTCTTCACTCTCATGGCGTTGATAACAGAATATCTGTTCCTGCAAAGTTCAGCCTGCAGAAATACTTGCGGGTTGGTGTTGATTATTTTTTTTATTTTTTTGTTTTTCTTGCTAAAGCAGTATCTGTGGCTGGCTGAGGCAAAAATAAATGTTAAGCTGTGAAGACAAATGAAATGACTGCTCTTAAACTGCACAGTGCAGCTCTGGAAGGAGCCAAATCACAGTGTATCTAAAAGGGCAGCATCTATTAGGCTAAAAAAATACACTGTTTGTATGGGCAGAGTTTTTAGGTGTTCAGAGCCCAGAACATTATAATAAACACGTGCCAGGCAAGGTGTTGAAATTTATCCTTCAGGGGTACAGAACTAACCAGAGTCCTGAGCTTTTCATGAGCTGATTGCAGAATATGTGATGCTTACATGTATTGTGCTTTTTTCCAAAAGTGAGTGCAAGAACTATTCTAGAGGCAAAAGAAACAGGCAGCAGGATGTAATCTGTTTTGAAGCTGCATGTCTAACCAGCAAAGCCTTGGGTATTCCATTTTTAATCTACGAAGTAAAACAAGTATATGAACAGGCTTAATTTAAATTACCTTTTTATCCAGTTTTGGCTTGATGTATAGAACTGTTTAAAATTGGTCCACTGGGCTAACTTCTGTCGTGTTTTTCTTCAGGTGTACTGGAAGCTTCCTTTAACAGATTTATTCCTTCATCAGGTACTTCCTGTTTATATGTAATCTACTTGTATATTTTTAAAACTTGCATGATTAATATAAACACAATTTCACCAGCACCACAAAATAGGAATTGGGTCCTAGACAAATGAATGTCATCATTCCCCCCTCAAAAAAAAAAAAACCCACCCACAACAAACCAAACCCCAATCAGCTGCTATGTAAACATGTTTCTCCCTCTGTCTTCTCTTCTGCTCACATTTTAAGGAGTGCCTGAGATTTCTACTTCTATAGCTGAAGAAGGGAGCAGATACCAAAGCAGGGGTAGGCAGCCCCTGTAAACCAAAAAGTATTTTGGTGAAAACGTGTGATGTACAGGCAATTTCTTCACAAAGCAATTCTGAGTAGGTTTTGTTGCCTTTGTGTGATGTGGAACTTCTAAAGTCTTCCCTGTAGGAGAAAGCAATTGTCTGGTTTTCCTCAGAGCATAGCTATAGATTGAGGTGTAATGTTATGTCATGCTGATTCTCAAAACACTGTCTCTATCGTTTGCAAGATAGTGACAGCAGATCTGAATTGGTGGCTTGCTGTGTCTAGCACAGTTGCCAAAAGTGTCTTAAATTTACAGGCTTAATTCCAAGCCAGTTTCGAGAGCTGGGGTCTTGCTCTTTGAAAACATTTTGATTGTCAGCCCATTCTATCACATACTTGCAGCCCTAAGCAGTATGTCTACTTTAACTATATTCTGAATGCTAGTCTGTTGTCTCTTCAGGGAGAGTAAACACCTATTTTCCTGCTATTTTTTATTTCTGATTTTTAATTCCTAACTTAACTCCCTGGCTGTAGTTACTTGTCTTCCAACCTATTGTTAAACTGTAATCTCAAGTTAGCTGACATTTATATAAGGATCTGCATGTGCACTGCATTCTCCTACAACCTGTGCAGTACTTTGCTGTGTTTTATTAATCAGATAACCCAGTAAACTTATTTGGTATCTTCAGGATGGCAACTTTTGAGGAAAGGAGCAACTGCAGAGCTCCAGGAGGTTTTTTTGTCAAGTGGAAGTACTGTCAGTCTTCATTATTCAGACTCCAGTATATGAAAAAAAAAAAAAAGGACACTGCTGATAACTGGAACTTGTTACAACCATCTCTGCTGTTAACTTGGACGACTTAATGTTGCAGATAACAGAAAAGTATTGTCAGCTAAAGCTGCATAGGTTGGGGTTACAGTTAGGATATGCCCCCATAAGACTGTTAAGAGTCTTACACATTTAAGTTTTTCCTTACTGTTGTGATGGATGGTATTGCGGATGATTTTTTTTTTCTTAATTTCATTAACAATGCACTTGTTTTATCTTTGTAGAACCTGCTCCAGTTCCACCAATTCCAAATGAACAGCAGTTGGCCAGATTGACTGACTATGTGGCTTTCCTTGAAAATTGATTACCCTGCTCCTATATTCAGAACGACTTGGGAATCCTATGTACTGACAGTTTTAGAATCTAAGATTTATTTTATCTATTAAATATTGCAGCATCCCCTACTCAAATGTGCGTGAGGTATACAGTGTATGTTATCCCAATTCGTGTTTTGCCAAAGCCAAGCTAGCAACTGAAACAATCGTTTAACTCCTGTAATATTTATTCAGTAGGTACACAGCAGTATTACATAGTAAGTTTTTTTTTATTGACTCATAGCAGAGAGAGGCAAAACTTTTTTCAGGTGTATTAGTAATAGGGAAGGGGGAAAAAAGTGAGTTATGAAGCAGGTTAACTGTCTTGAGGAATTTATGCTAGTAGGTTATGTGCTTCTGTGGCGAGTACTGTGCGGGGCTTACCACAGATCAATGGCATGTTGAACGAAAGTACAGAGTGGAAGACTGCCCTACCTGTATCTGCAGAGAGAATATTTTGAAACAGTAATTTAAAGAAAACAATTTACAATAACTGTTTTGCAAGTAAATTTGTGGCATATTTATAATTGATTTTTTTTCTTGTTGGTCTTTCTGGATTGTTACATCTTCTTGTTTTGATGTGAGAAACTTCACATCGGGCGTATTTTTACAGCAGAATAATTGGAGTCATTTAAGAGGCAAATCTTCACTTTAAAGAAGAATTTTTACTTTTGCAAGGTTTTATTTGAGTGACATAAGACACCGGATATTTTGCTGGGCCTTCTCAAGGCCTGCCATGTCTTAGTTCTTTTCAGTACACTGGGCCAGGATCTACAAGAAACAACTCTTTACCTGTATTTAAGCTTTCTGGATTACCTCTGCAGTTATTGGAGAGGAATTGAAAAATTAGCATAGGTGTCCCTGAGTAGAGACCAATTGGGATGGGGATGATATGTTATGCTGCAATGTCAGTTTGAGGAATACATTTTCTGTGTCAGAGCACTGCTGTGTTAGTGAGCTGAGAGTGGATTTTAGAAGCAGAAAAGATGACTTCTTATTTGTGCTATGCTGGTAAAAAGGCTATGGGAAAACAGTGGTGCTTTAAAGGGCAGTGTGTGCCTTCATTTGCTTCTCCCCCCTTTTCCACATCGTATTCAGTCGTTTCATCGAAGATGGCACACGTGCCGTATGTTGTGATTGTTTTTTCCAGTGTGCACTACCTACTGTACATTCTCCTGTTGGGGATGTGTTAGCAGGGAGGAATTGTAAACTGTGCACTGCTGCTTTGAGAGCTCCCTTTATATGTAAACACTTACTCAAAATGATTATTTATTTGAAACCCACCGAAGACCTGGATTTCTAAATTTATCTTCAGTGATATTAAAGAACTTGTTTACACTGACCTTGTCTACTTGATTTTTTTAACTTTCCTTAGAGTACAGTTCGTTTGTTTAGTTTTTTAATGAATTCTTATTGGTCTGATTTGGATAGAGCTGTTTAAAGATTAGGTCAATACATTATGCCTAGACAGTTGGTTTTGAACAGCTTTGTGTGCAGCAATTGTATGAATTTATATTAAAACAACACTGGTACCCTTCAGGTGTCTTTTAAAATATTCAGAGGTATAAAGTACTTGAAGAGCTAAGTGAAAATTTTGTCTTCTGTGTATGTATTGTGCAACTGTGCAGTTCTGTTAGGGTTTGAGAGACCCATAACAATCTGTTGTCGTTTAGACAATCATTTTATCACCCGATGACCCCTCCCCACCCGGGAAGGGGAATCAGGGAAAAGCAAGGAAACCCGTGAGCTGAAGCATAAACAGATTTAATTGAATAAGATTAGATAATTAACATCTGAGATAATTAACAGCACTAAAGAATTGATATTGATCCCGACACCAATACAGAATATGCAAAGATTATACTCAGCCAATTCTATCAGTAGGAAGCTGTGCACTCCCAGCAGTGGACAGCAAATGTCGGACATTGTGAGCACTACAGCTTCAGGGGGAGGGGAAGGCCTCAGGAGTCCGGCACCAGGGCACGAAGTTCTCAGGATGGCAGCCATCAAGGGAGAGAGAGAACTTCGCAGCAAACTTCCGAATTCATGGTGAATGTGATGTTGAGGGTATGAAATAATCCTGTTGGCCAGCTTGGGTCAAGTGCCTGGGTCTTCTTCCTCCTCATCCCAACACCTGGCAAGCTCGAAAACACCGAGACCCACACACCATAGCTGGCTGTAAAGTAAATATTTTCACAAATTCAGACACTGGAGTCTTCTAAAAATGCAGTTTTCCCAAGTATTAGAATAGAAATTAGTCCTGTGTTGCTCAAACCAGGACATGTTCGTAGCACACAAATGCAACTCTGCTTGCAGCAATGAAAATTAGACATGATTAAAGGACTACTAACCACTTACACTTAATAAATGGTAACAGGAGAGGAGGAATGTGGACACTGGTAATCTGTGTCTGTCTGAAATCTAGTATCAAATCTATGTCAAATATAGTTAAGTTTGACTCTGTTCAGTTAAAGCTCATAAGTTTGAGATCTCTGGTCTGCTGTAGACTTTAAGCTGGTTTTTAGCTTTGCATATGGCATTAGCTCATAACTTGCCTTGAGTACTGTGCTCCCAGCCGTGCTTTTTTGTTTGTACTTCTTTGGAATCCAAGCTATTTCAGATCTTTTTCATCTTCATTTCCCTTTATCATGGTTAATTGCCTTCATTGCCCTGTATCGCCACTCTTGCTAGTCATGTAATGGACATGGTAAACAACAGAATATTTTCTATTTGTTCCTGAGCCTTTCTAAGATTGACTCTGTTGTAACATCTCTTGAGCACTACCGTGTTCTCAGTATAATAATTACAGTGACTTGAGTATCTCTCATCAGCAGTGATAACAAGGTTGGTGTGCATCATTGCATGTTCTTATTCAGGTTTTTTCCCTCTGGTTAGTGCAGTGCATGCATAGATAACAAGTGGACAGTGAAACAGAAGGTGAAATTTCAGTATTGTAAGACACTTCTGGTCTCTTTAATCAGGTTTCCTTTTGACTTCTTGAATAACTTTATAATCGTGGCATTGTTGCCTTGCTAACATAAAGAACTTTATCAATGTTGAACATAACAGGTGTTACAGTAATTTATGGTGGCCTCCTCCACTGTGCAAACTGACTACCTGCTACTTACCCTTAGCCAGTCCTTTCCCCTTTAGCCTACTAGTTTGTGTAGTTTTGGAAAAATCTGTTATATATGAAGTAGACCACTTAATCTAAATTTGTTGATTCTTTATAGGAAAAAGTAGATTTGAAGCTGCCTATAAAACCAAACCACACTTCCTTACTCTTCTATGTATTTTTAGTATTTCTCCTTTTTACTAATGAAAACACTGCCTGATTCCCCTGTCTAGACACTCAGCTTGGTTTCTTAGGTTTTCAATGGGCAGGTGAGGAAGCAGGTGGAGTTTAAGACTTGATAAAGGAGCTAGAGGTATTTGGGGGTTGGACTAGATGATCTCCAGAGGTCCCTTCCAACCCTGACCGTTCTGTGAAATGTTGGAGAAGTAAGGGTATTGCAGCCTAATGGAATGCTGTGCTTCGTGTCTGGGAAAAGCAAACGGGACAAGTTGCTTTATTGGTGTTAATTTGAACTAATACTGGAATAGGTCTTAATCTACTGCCCATGATACAGCTTAATACAAGTGGCTTTGAGGGGTGTTGATAACTGTCATGAGACCTTTAATGGACTTGTTTGGCATATATTGAGCTAATAAAGTAAAATTTTTACTTTCCCAACGTGTTTTTAACTTTAGTGAATGATTTTTGTTCTGCACCAGGCTATTGGCTTGTTCACAGTACCTATAAATAGGAAATTTATATCCAGTGGCAAATTTATTGTGGTTCTTTGTAGAAATTGTGTGATACGTTGTTATAATTGATTTGGTTCCTGAACTGTACTGTGCCATGGATCCTCAAAATGGGAATGAGGGCTGTCTCAAAGTACTATGAAATGATGTGTTTCTGTTTAAAAATATTGGATCAGAAAGTTTGGAGTTACAGCAGGTCACTAATGAAATTCACAATTGGATTTAATGGCTGAAGACAAATGCATCTTTTCCATGTCAGCAGAGGGTCACTAAGTACAAAGACAGAGGATATCGTATAGCATAGTTTAATTAGATGAAGAAGACTTGACCACTTTCTGAAATGTAGGGGGAAATCTGTCCATGGAGCTGGGGTTAACCTAGCAAGCAAAGATATAAGATGAGCTTGATATAAAAGGTGAGAGAGTTCAGTTCTCTTGCAGACATCAAGTAGTGTCAGTATGGTAGCTATTTTTAGGCTTGCTCTAACTCATATTATGGTCTTCAGTTGAGTGTACTTTGATACTATGGATAAGTGTAAACAACTTTGTGACACATGGCATTACAAAAGCCAAAATCAGACATACTTGTAGAAAAGTTTTTCTCTTTTGGCTTGGGCCTATCTTGTGCTAAAATGTTGCAGTCTCAAAGGGGTCAATAACCAAAATTATGCTGAGTGGAAATGTCAGCCTGTTTGTTCGACATGATCTGTGTTAAAGGATTCCAGTTTATACTTTCACTACTCTGACAAGCAGCATAGCTCAGTGCTTCCCTGTCCAGAGCCCTGTCTTGGTAAAGAGATTGTGTACGTTATTTCCTAAAGTGAGATCTTTCAGCATTTGAATACTTACTTGGGCTGCTTTAACCCTGTGCTTTCAGTTCAACAAAGAGGAAGTATTTTTGTGGTCGTAGTTGCTTTAATTGAAGCAACTGGTGTGCATTTTGGAGTTCTTCCAAACGCTTTTCCGTCCGCAGTGTTGGAACAGTGCTGGAGTGGGAGGACCTTTGGGTTAAGAAATCATTAAGAATTCAGTTGGGAGCAGACGTTCATGAAAGTTTCGAAAAAATGAGTTCCATTTCAGTTTTGTGTTTTCCATTTTCAACTGCATCCCACATGTAACTGAACATTATTTCTTTGTATTTTATTAGCCTCTCCTATATATGTCAGTGATGCTTATTTACCTGCAGTTTCAGTCTCTGTAGAGAAAACTGTTTCAGCTCAAAGGTGGCTAAAAAAAGAGAAACTGGGTATGGAGGCAGAACAGTAGAGTTATGCCTCCTTGCTGAAGATCCTAATGGAAACCGTACATAGGCTTTAATAACAAAGCCTAGGAGATTTTCCAGGATCTGATCAGAGCTGTCAGTAACTCAGTTAAGAAAATGAAAGCAAAATGCATATGCAGGAAAACATCTCACCAGGCGTTGCAGGAGAATGGTTCTGATGCTGTTGTAATGCATTTGGGTCAAGTCCTACTGCACATACATACTTAGATGATACTCTTCCTTGTTTTGGTAATGT